CGAGAAGCTCCTAGTCCAGGGGAACACCGAAGAGAAGAAGGCCAACAGAAGAAGCCTTCCCCTGGAGCTGACACCCTGAGTTCGGACTTTTAGCCTACTTTGACTGTGAGGAAATAAACTTCTCTTCGTTAAAACCATCCACTTGTGGTATTTCTGTTATAGCAGCACTAGATAACTAAGACAGACATCATTCTCCTCACCGTCTTAGTTGATAGTCCTTTGTTATTGCACCTCAGATGTACAAATACCAGAGGGAACAGTCCTCCCTGGACTGCTGACTCTTCACAGGTGCTGTATTACAACAGAGAAACATGCCTTACCTGTAAGGTAAAAGTTTCCAAACAGGTTTTGCCAAGAAAGTGCTTGGGGCCATCTTGTGTGTGCTGTCAGTAGTCTCAGATTATTACAGTCAAAAGCAGTTGTAAATATGGTAGGGCACTGTCTTGACTCTGGGAGCAAGTGGAGGGGGGCTCTCTTTACTCCATAACTCATCCCATAACTCAACATATATTGGTGCCCTTATATGCGTAAGAAGATATTATAACTCCTTGATGATTAAAATTTTACACATTAAACTTCGATTGTGAAATTTGTGGTATCTTGTCAAGGTAGGTCAGTGTAAATAAAATTATATTGTGTACCAGAAGTTGAGGGGTGAACAGGTGGAGCACAGGGCATCTTAGGGATGGTGAAACTATTCTGTGTTATACTGTAATGATGGATACATGCGTTATGCTTTTGTCAAAATCCATAGGTCTGCAAAGCACAAAGAGTGAACCCTAAACTATGAACTTCAATTATAATGTTGGATCAATAATGGTTTATCAGTTGTAACAAATGTCCTACATTAATGTAAGATGTTAATAATAGGAGAAACTGTGTGCAGGGATGGGGGAAGGAATATATAGGAACTCTCTGAACTTCCTGTGCAATTTTTCTGTGAGTCTAATGCTTCAAATAATCCAAGAAGCTGGACAATATGAAGAAGAACACGACATCAAGATTGGAGGAAGACTCATTAACAACCTGTGTTATGCAGATGACACAACCTTGCTTGTGAAAAGGACTTGAAGCACTTACTGATGAAGACCAAAGCCTACAGCCTACAGTATGTGACACCTCAACATAAAGAAAAATCTTCACAACTGGACCAATAAGCAACATCATGATTAATGGAGAAAAGATTGAAGTTGTCAAGGATTTCATTTTACTTGGATCGACAATCAATGCCCATGGAGGCAGCAGTCAAGAAATCAAATGATGTATTGCATTGGGTAAATCTGCTGCAAAAGACCTTTCTTTAAAGTATTAAAAAGGAAAGATGTCATTTTGAGGACTAGATGTACATGAATTATGGAGTTGGTGAAGAATGCTGAATATACCACGGACTGCCAGAAGAACGAACAAGTCTGTCTCGGAAGGATGCTCCTTAGAAACGAGGATGGCGAGACTTCGTCTCACGTACTTTGGACATGTTATCAGGAGGGACCAGTCCCTGGAGAAGGACATCATGCTTGGTAAAGCAGAGGGTCATCAAAAAAGAGGAAGACCCTCAGCAAAATGGATTGACACAGTGTCTGCAACAATGGACTGAAACATACCAAAGATTGTGAGGATGGCACAGGACTAAGAGTGTTTAATTCTGTTGTACATAGGGTCACTATGAGTCTGAACTGACTCGATGGCACCTATCA